AGAAAGCTTCCTTACGATCAAGATCTTCTTGTTCGCAAGAGACTTGGGAAGGGGCATAAACGGAAAACAAGGAGCTCGGGAAAGGTTTTGTGGCTAGCTTCAAGATAGCAATCCGCGCCGTGAGCGGGATGAAATCATGCACTAATGGGAGCAAATATTGAGGGACTGCAAAGCCAACTCCTGCATGTGGGTCATCGGCATCCCCAGACAAATAGAAATGCCAGTTGAAAGAGCGAATATGATCAGTGCAAGTGCTTTTTGTTTCCTGTAGACAAACTATGCCTATTTGTATTGTGTTCAATACAGTAGCAAGCATTTCATATTTTCCAGTTCCGAGCAGGGTTTCTACGTTCCACGTGTGAAGGGTGAGCTGACGCCCAGGCGAAGCCATGGTGCGCAGGCGGTTTGGGGGTAGGGAGAGGCGGTCTCGCAACATATGCTTTTTAAAAAAGAAGGCACGGGATGTGCTGGTTGGAATGTCTCGCGGACCAAACAATCGGAATTTTTGTTGAACACTAACTTGCACCCTTTTCGGGGGGGGGCGGTATTGCGCCAGGGTGAGGTTCACAGTACCGCGCATGGCTGTTTTCCACTGTCTGTAAGCTTGGCGCGAACGACGACGCTCAGCTTGAAAGGAGAGGATACGACGATTCCGGGAGCTTTCAGAGCGCAAATTTTGATGGGTTCTATATTTCCCCCCCGACGCACTGCGGGGTTCGTGACCACTTGCTGTATTTGGAGGCCGGAGCTCATAACGCTGATACTGAAAATATTGCTTCTGAGGGGAAAAGCCGTGGTCTCCCGGCAAGCCTCTGGCGGCCCCCGCGGCTTCGAGCAGCTTGAGCAATTTCCGCTTTGCGTTCCCAAAAAAATTCTGGTAGATACGGTATCCTCTACGAAAAAACCATATGGATACATGGTGTGAGCATATCCTAAAATGGTGGACCATCATTCCGTTAGATAGAGTAACAGGCTGGGATCGGAATTTGCTTGGTAAATTGTAATAATACCAAGTTCCTAAGAATAGGGAACAACGCTGACAAAATTGATTGCCATGGGTGATGTGGGCTTGTCTGTTTCGAAAAGTCCGCGAATGTGACCAAACATTTTCCAGGCATCCTTTGCAATGTCCTGCTGGTGCTTTCGAGGGCCAGCGCGCCGCACATGAGTAACAAATGAAAATCGATATTGATAATCTATCAAGTGTCAAGAACAGGGGGGGCCACTGCGCAACTGGCAACGTCGAAGACACAGCATCCAAAAGGTCTACTCCAAAAGAGAAAGTCTGCAGGATGGAGATTTTCAACCCAGACTGGCGGGGCCTGAGGCCCGTTGTTGCACTTTCCTTAGTAGGTGCAATTTCCTTAGTAGTTTGGAAATGCCAGTTTCCATTCGGCCTTTGGCCATCATGTGCGCTTGCCTTATTAGGCGCACGTTCCTGCGTAGATTGTTCTTGTAGCAAACTGAATGGGATCAATTTTTTTGGGGGAAAAATCATTAGTTCACTCGTGGGTGCTGGTAAAAAAACTAGTCAGAGGACCTGAACAATCCATGGAAACCTAAAGTCCTTGTGCTGGTGCATGAACAGGACCCAGAGTGTTTGCCAAAACGCTCTGTGGTAGCCCTCCTCTGCAAACAAAAACAACAACACTTCAAGGGAGTTTCCCTTGTTGTTCCAGTGCCTCTGAGTGAGGGCCCACTGGGCGTCCTGCTTGCTAATACTTAACAGAGGGACCAGCCGATCATACAAGAAATTTAGGGACTCATTAGGTACCTGGTGCTGAGCCTTTGGCTTCTTAGCAGTGTGTACCATGTAAGCCCTGGAAAGCTGCCAAAAACATACATCCGTGAAACACGTCGCAAAGCCACTCAGATGTCGCAAGGTCTCATTGGTGTAGAGGTTACTGCCCATGAAGATCTCAATGTTTTGAGGGCTATGGTTCAACCAGTGTGCAAAGTTCTGTCTGATGGTGTCAAACGGGGAATCTTCACAATCCAGAGATGAACCTAACAATACAAACAGGTCCTGAGTGATTTTCGGCGGCGGTTCACCAGAGATCAGTTGTTCGGCTAGCAGGTCCTCAAACGTGAAGTGCAATGAACATGCCACCATCGCATCCCATGGAACAACTGCCGCTGTTGCGACAGGAAGCTCCCGGGTCCAGTCTGCGAGTTCCCACTGCTCCGTGAAGGATTCCCAATCATTGTTCCAGTGGTCTTCAAAAATATAAACAAAAAGATCCAGCAGAGCAAAGTGCTCATTCACCTGCTTGGTGAAGACCCCACCTGCATTGTGGAGATACTCCTCCGTCAAAGAAGGATTGATTTCAAATGGCAACGCCGATGATTGCAGCAGCGGCAAAAATTTGTGATCTTTTGTCAGAACACGGAGGGCCCACGCAAGAACCCATTGCTCTATCGTGAAGTCGCCCGGCTGTGAGTCACCCAGTTTGTCGTGGATGTCATCCGTGTATCCACGAAGGTATTCATCGCTAAGCTGTGTGACATCATAGTCATACAGGAATCGGTCCACTTGGTAGATTTCTGCCATTCTGAATGGAGTCAAGGTGAGCACGGGGTCCTTGGAATGCCAATAGTCAACATGTGCCCGACACAGGCTGCAAGAGCCAAATCCAAGGAGCTTGCTGCAGATTCGGCCATCCGTGGTTGCGCCTGGGCACCACAAGGCCCGCACAGGCGCTGATTGCTTGTTCATACCAACAGGAGCATCACACTTTCCACACTCGGGGCAGTCCAGATTCCATCCCAGAGCACATAGGCATAGCTGGCAAAGTACCAGATCCCATGATCGCCCGCCACGCACATTTCCTTTAGTGGAAGCGCGGCCTTTTCCTGTAGGTCGACTTTGCCATGTTGCGCGGAGCGGGGATGGTTTGGAGGGCCAACTCGACCCAGAGGGGCCATCTTGGTTGTCATCATCCTTTCGCGAGTGCCACTTCGATTGGTCAGGGTCTCGATCTTGCCAGTTTGACCAAGGCTTGTTGCTTTTTGACCCACCTTTGCCCTTTTTGGGAGGATCCAAGCTCTTTGAACCCCCTTTGCCTTTCTTGGGGGAATCCAAACTACCAGTAGGTGCCTTACCTTTGGTGGTCCCTTTTCCAAAATCTTCAGCTTGCACCCCATAATCTTGGAAAACTTGCGAAATGGTTGCCAACAAGCCAGAGGAGCCTTGTAAAGGCAGCGAGGGATGCTTCTCCAGTAATGTCGCCAAAGATGTTGACATACTCAACGGAATCACAGGATATCCGAAATGCAGCTGTGGGTCAGGGATGTTTGCCAGATCAAATGCCTTTGTGTACGAATGCCGTGCCACTGTGGTTCGGTCACCAACTGCTCGCTGGAGGGCTTGGATCAATAGCAATGTGGAGCTCATGCGGGCGGAGAATGCCTCATGCCACCGAGCCAGTGTTTGGTCATAGAACTCCTCAGCCACAAACACCACGCACACGTACCGCCTCGCAAAGCGGTGATCCAGCAAGTAGCACACTTGGCAAAGAAGGGAGCCTTGCGTCTCAGGGGTAACCGCCCCAGACCATATTTGCAGCGTGTTGCGATCGCTTTGCAGCTGGCCAGTCGGTCCGGTTGGCGCTACATGCTGGAGGATATCTAACATGGTGTAATACGGCTGCAAAGCGATCCTTTCGTCAGTCGACAAATCTTGTTCTACTTTTGCTTTCGCCTCATGGTTTGGCATGCGCCACATCTGCTTTGAAGTGCGCATTGCTTGGAACAGGCTTCTGCGCTGCTCCTCCGTCATCAGTTCGAGCCTCATGATGGACGAGGACGCGTTCACAACATGGGTATGCATTGCAGCTACACATGAGAAATCCAGCGAAGCCTTAGACAGGAAGTAAGTCACATTTTTCTCCAGTGATGACCTTGTGTAGCCAAAGGCTGGGAGGCCTCGAATCAGGACTGTTCGATTTGCACGGGACTGCTCCAGAGAACGAAGCCGGGTGCTCATCATATCCAAGGTGAGCTGGACATACTGTGACTCCAGGACTGTGTTGGAGTAAAAGTCAGCACATGTTCGCCAAAGCTTATCGAAGCTTGGGATCACCGATTGACTGTGATATTCAAGCATTGCTGCTTTGATGGATTCTTCAGGGATTTCTAAAACAGGGGTCTTGCTGATGATGTCATCGACTTCCGAAAAAATTCGTTTCTTGCTGAGGTCAATGGTGGCAAATTCCTTCTTGGAGGGATCATATGCACGTGCTTGGTCGGGTGTCAGCTGTACCTGCTGAAAGTCTTTCCTGGCCTCCGGGTCAGTCTTCAATAAGTGACGCAGGGCAGGATCAAGGTCCATCCATTCAATGCCTCTAGTGGCTAAACTTTCCACAAAAGTCTGCAGAGCTTCATCGTCCAGCTTTTGTCGTTTTGGGGATGCCGTTCTCTGTTCTGGGTCTGTCTGCTGTTTCAATTTTTGAAGGAGATCATAATCCTCCTGTGAGATGGCCACTGTGCGTTCAGTCGGCGAGGGCGCCGTGCCACCGGGTTCATTTGCCATGGGTCAACTAAGGATAGGATGCCTGGGTAAATAAAAGGAATCCAAAACATTTCAGAAGGATGCTGCGTGAGTGTTTTCTCGTGGACTGAAAGCCCCTACGGGGCCCTATGTTAGAATCTGCGGGTCCTCACAATAAGATCAGATTGAAATGTATGCCTGACAAGACAAATAAAAGTGTCACAAGCGCACCGAAGCTCGTGCCAAATGCCTATTCCAGTTTTCTGAACTATAAAATCTATTTTAAAAAAAACGATAGAACACAGTGTTGAACACTGTAAACTCCAGTTCTTCTAATAGGTGCACATATTATATCCACTACACATGCGATCTTTTTTGAAGGGCTACAATGAATATTGTGAATGGTTAATTACTATGAATCATTAATATATGTATATATATATACTATATACACTATATAATGGATACTATGCTTACTATGAATCATTGCACCCCCCAAATGCCGAGCTTCCACGGCCATCTGGTGCGGAAACAGCTCCTGGCTGCAGGCGCTTTTGATGCCGCGATGGAAGACCTTGCGCCGCTCGTCCTCCGACATTTTGCCTCCGGAAGTAGTGGGGAAGCAGGGGATGGTTGGGATATCCATTCTGGTTGATATAAACAGTTACCAACTATAACTATGAGTGAAGACTGTAGAATTATAACTGATAATTATGCCAACTAAATATAGTAGCTGGTTGGCATAGTTGGCTATAATTAGTTGGTATAAGTGAGCGATCCAGTTGCAATCTGTGACCGCCATCTATGAATAGAAGTCGGATAATCATGCCAAGTAGGATAGGAAATAAGAAGGAAAACAACAAAGATTTGTTGGGGACATGGATGGAAAATCAATAGCAATTACACGATGTAGTTGTAGTGGTGGTGGTAGTAGTGGTAGTAGTGGTAGGAGTGGTAGTAGTGGTAGGAGTGGTAGTAGTGATAGTAGTGGTAGTGGTGGTAGTGGTGGTAGTAGTGCTAGTAGTGGCAGTGGTGGTAGTAGTGGTAGTAGTGGTAGTAGTGGTAGTAGTGGTAGTGGTGGTAGTAGTGGTAGCAGTGGTAGTAGTGGTAGTGGTAGTAGTGGTAGTAGTGGTAGTAGTGTGGTAGTAGTGGTAGTAGTGGTAGTAGTAGTATTAGTAGTAGTAGTAGTGGTAGTAGGTGGTAGTAGTGGTAGTAGTGTGTAGTAGTAGGTAGTAGTGGTATTTAGTTTCGTAGTAGTGTTATTCCGTCGTGGTCGTCAGGTCAGGTGGTTGTTCTTGTGTTCGTGGTCGTTGTCGTCGGGGTGGTGTCTGTGTCGTCGGGTAATGTAGTGGTAGTAGTGGTAGCAGTGGTAGCAGTGGTAGCAGTGGTAGTAGTGGTAGCAGTGGTAGGAGTGGTAGTAGTGGTAGTAGTGGTGGTAGTGGTAGTAGTGGTAGTAGTGTGGTGGTAGTGGTGGTAGTGGTGGTAGTGGTGGTAGTGGTGGTAGTGGTGGTAGTGGTGGTAGTGGTGGTAGTGGTGGTAGTGGTGGTAGTGGTGGTAGTGGTAGTAGTGGTAGTAGTGGTAGTAGTGGTAGTAGTGGTAGTGGTGGTAGTGGTGGTAGTGGTGGTGGTAGTGGTGGTAGTGGTAGTAGTGGTAGCAGTGGTAGCAGTGGTAGTAGTGGTAGTCGTGGTAGTCCTGGTAGTCGTGGTAGTCATGGTAGTCGTGGTAGTAGTGGTAGTAGTGGTAACTGTAGTGGTAGTCGTGGTAGTCGTGGTAGTCATGGTAGTCGTGGTAGTAGTGGTAGTAGTGGTAGTAGTGGTAGTAGTTAGTGGTGTGGTAGTAGTGGTAGTAGTTGTAATAGTGGCAGTAGTGGTAGTAGTGGTGGTAGTGGTGGTAGTTGTAGTAGTGGTAGTAGTGGTAGTAGTGGTGGTAGTGGTGGTAGTGGTAGTAGTGGTAGTAGTGGTAGTAGTGGTAGTAGTGGTAGTAGTGTGGTGGTAGTGGTGGTAGTGGTAGTAGTGGTAGTAGTGGTCGTAGTGGTCGTAGTGGTAGTAGTGGTAGTAGTGGTCGTACTGGTAGTAGTGGTAGTGGTAGTAGTGGTAGTAGTGGTAGTAGTGGTAGCAGTGGTAGTAGTGGTAGTAGTGGTAGTAGTGGTAGTAGTGGTAGTAGTGGTAGTAGTAGTAGTGGTAGTAGTGGTAGTAGTGGTAGTAGTGGTAGTAGTGGTAGTAGTGGTAGTAGTGGTAGTAGTGGTAGTGGTGGTAAGTGGTGGTAGTTGGTGGTAGTAATGGTAAGTAACGGGGTAGTAGTGTGGTAAGTATGGTGGTAGTGGCCCTAGTGGGGGCGTGTGTTGGTGGTCGTGGTGGTAGTGGTAGTAGTGTGGTGGTAGTGGTGGTAGTGGTGGTAGTGGTGGTAGTGGTAGTAGTGGTAGTAGTGGTAGTAGTGGTAGTAGTGGTCGTAGTGGTAGTAGTGGTCGTAGTGGTCGTACTGGTAGTAGTGGTAGTGGTAGTAGTGGTAGTAGTGGCAGTAGTGGTAGTAGTGGTAGTAGTGGTAGTAGTGGTAGTAGTGGTAGTAGTGGTAGTAGTAGTAGTGGTAGCAGTGGTAGTAGTGGTAGCAGTGGTAGTAGTGGTAGTAGTGGTAGTAGTGGTAGTAGTGGTAGTGGTGGTAGTGGTGGTAGTGGTGGTAGTAGTGGTAGTAGTGGTAGTAGTGTGGTAGTAGTGGTGGTAGTGGTAATAGTGGTAATAGTGGTAATAGTGGTAGTAGTGGTAGTAGTGGTAGTAGTAGTGGTGGTAGTGGTGGTAGTGGTGGTAGTGGTGGTAGTGGTGGTAGTAGTGGTAGTAGTGGTAGTAGTGTGGTAGTAGTGGTGGTAGTGGTAACAGTGGTAGTAGTGGTAGTAGTGGTAGTAGTGGTGGTAGTGGTAGTAGTGGTAGTAGTTAGTGGTGTGGTAGTAGTGGTAGTAGTTGTAATAGTGGCAGTAGTGGTAGTAGTGGTGGTAGTGGTGGTAGTTGTAGTAGTGGTAGTAGTGGTAGTAGTGGTAGTGGTGGTAGTGGTGGCAGTAGTGGGAGTAGTGGTAGTAGTGGTAGTAGAGGTAGTAGTGTTGTTGTTGTCGTCGTCGTGATGGCATATATATATAATTATATACCACATAGCATATAGTCACTTTCTGCAAATGGACTGTCAACACATGATTTTTCTGCAGCTGTCAGCACTTTGCCCACCGAGTTGGCGGACCAATGTCAGATATGTTCGAAGAAGCTTTGGTTTAGGCCCCAGATTCTTTTCATGTGAAGTCCATATCATTTGAATCATATGAAACACCAAAAGGTGAAGCTTCAGAAGCTCAATGGAGCTGCTTAATGCAGCATTTCATGATATTTCACGGTATCATATTGGATCTCAAGGGCTGCCACATGCCTTTGATCTTGCTAGCAACCTTGCTTTGAAATCCTCAGGGTCAAGTGTGGAGCATCATTGTGAGTCCAATGTGTCCATTGTACCTGTGTTGATTGTGATGAAGCTCAAGCATGCGAGTGTTTCTATAATCTGGTAATTAGGCCAAATCACTACTACATCTACAAGCGGTTCTCAACTGTTGTCTGTCAAAGCAATTTGCCGCCAAGACACGCTTTGCAGCCAGCTTGCCTCCAAAAGCTTCCAAAAAATCTGACATAATCTAACGCATACTAGAGCAAGCAGCTCGTCGCAAGTGCAAAGAAAAAAGGATGAATAGAAGCCGCACAAGATAGTCCAAATGGATCTAAATGGGTTGAACTCCAAGTCACAAGCTGAGCAAGCAAGATCAGGGCCCCTTCGTCTTAAGGGGTCACCATCCTGACACACCGTTTACAATTCCACACAAGTCAGGTTTGGGTATGCAAAGGGAAACAGTTTCGACAAACCAGTTTTGTCTGAAAATATGGTACTTCCACTTTTGAATGGTGCATCACTATTTTCTAGCTTTCCCGATCAAAATGGTATAAATTAAGGTCTACCACCATTTTTGGATAGGTTTGGACCAACCCAAATGATCCAATAATGGTCTGTTTGGCATCTGATTCTCCTGGCCAAAGTTTCCTCGGTACCTGCAGTCACGGCGACATCATACCCCGAAAATTCATGAAAATTCCCCATTTATCCCCATTTATAGATGATTGGTTCTCATTCAAAATATCTTTCAATGCCAGTCTTTCAGAGTTTTCCAGTGGGTTTCCCGTGGCACCAAAGGATACTCCAGAGGGTTAGGCCTGGGCCTAGGCGCGGAGATGGGCTGAGATCCCAACTCCTTGAGGATTTCTTCCGCCTCTCCACGGTCCAAGGCTTCCGAGCCCGGCCCCAAGGCTCCCTCCGAGCGGGGCTTCTTCCTCGGTGGAACCATCCATTCGTCAATGGGATGGGTCAAAACCTCTGGGAATTACATGTGATTCTATGATATTCTATGTAATTAATAATATATTAATGATTATGTAATGACCCATCTTTGGAGGTTGGGGCATAACAGACCCATGTTTCCCAGCTATTTTACTCTTCGCCAGGGTACCAGAGTTTAAAGCCCATGCTCAGAAACATTAATCATTTCAAGTTCCTTGAACATAGCCCCACAAAGAGGTTTGGGTGATTGTGCGCTCCTGTGGTGAGCAACTTTTCTGAGCTGCTTCTTTCGGCAAATCTACCAATACAAACCATGAAAGCTCTGTTAACATAGACCCTGTGGAGGAAAAAAACAAGCCCCCAGGGAGGCTATGGTAATCTCATGGATATATATGGATAATGTTTCCTTAAAATGAGTTTAAAATAGTTTCACATAGATCTGCTCAGAATCCTGAACTTACGCCTTTTTAAGCAGTGGGATTAAAAGTAGCGAAATCATGTTTTTCCTCCAAAAATACATCTTTGCTCAAGGTCAAGAGAGTAACTTTTTGACATTTTGTGGAACGTGAGTCGAGTTATGAGGCATGAGTTTTGGTCTTGGCCAGGGATAGAGCTGGATTCAATTGCGTCCAACAATGAATAGGGACAGCAAAAAACACCATTCGCTGGTTCCCAACATGGCCATCCCAGACCGCAAGTTGTACCGAGAATCCCAGTACATGATACAAGCAAGGCAAAAACGAAGCGCCAAAGGAGCATCAGAAAAACTGTGGGCACGAGCTACGAAGATGGTTTGACAAATCTTTCATTCTTGTGCTTAGCTAAAATGCACAAAACGTGTGGTAAAGCCTAAGGTCGCTCCTGATCGTGGGCACTGTGTTTGCTTCTCTTGAAGTCTGATATAATCCGTTTGAATGGGAAGAAACAGAATGAAAGATGAGGTAACTAAAATCATCTAATGGTGTTTCTTAACTGTATTGATCAACTGAATCGCTGCTTTCCGAGCAGTCCTTCTATATAGAGTCGGCGAAGCACGGTCAGGTGTAACACACAGGAATCTGATGTATGATCGATTTGATCTACAGTAACTCGTGCAATCCACTTCTCATTCTCTCTTTCTCTCTCTCTCTCTCTCTATCCCTCTCTCTTTCTCTTTATGTGTGGTATTCCATCTTTAATTATACATGTTGTACCATGATATATCATGGATCTGGGCAGCAGGATCAATCGTCACAGCCGAGAAATAGCAAGGACAAGGCCAGCAGGCAGCTATTAAGTTGACTGCGGCAAGGAAAAGTCTCAACCGTGTTTTTGGGTCTGCTGGTTGATGGTTGAGCCACGTCTGTGAGAAAAAAACATTGTTGATTCACTAGCGATCTCCGTCTTACTGGGATGAAGCAACGACTTAAACCAACAATTGAAAAGTCGTTGAACATTCCGAAGTCAAATGAACACAACCGCGTAGCTGGAGGCCTCTGCTGCCTGAGACTGCTTGAAAACAAGATCCTGCAAAAGAGACACGTGATCTGACGCAGTAATCTTCAGATATCTTCAGAAGCTGTTGCTTTTGGATCTATATGACTCTAGCCCAAGAAGCTCTTTTGAGAAGTGCTACACGGGATCAGAAGTGTGATTGCATTCACTTTGGGTTCATGAGTTAGAATCAAAATGTGCCAATGCTGGTGTCTACCCCAGGCTGTCCTTCAAGGTCACTCCCATGGCCAGCAAGGAGTATGCACCTCCCAACTGCAAAGCTGAGGTGAACATGTTGGCAGTGGTGGTATCATTGGTATCACGGCAAACACTGCAACCTCCTCACCGGCCTGTGCATTGTAGCACGTCCTTGGTAATTATTGACCCTGCTTGATGGGAAAACAAGGACACTGACTCAAGAGTGCAGGTGCAGCAGTGGACTGAGCTTCGGCCATCACTTTTTGGACTGTCAAAAATCAAAAACCAGCAACATTTGGACCCCCGCATTCCAAGCTCCTCCTTGCAAATCAACGCCTCAGAAATGTATTCGCGGGTTTTTCAAGCTCAAACATCTCAAACTCAATGATCCATTGCGACATATTAGCAACAAACTTGGAAAGGATTGCTAATGTCAGGCAGAAACATTGTAGGCTCTTCAATGTTTTAGTTCATAATCAGCATTGACAGAGCGCCTTTCAGCATTCTTCCAGCATTCTTCAGTGATTGTGGCAGCTAGGCGCCCTACCAAGAGGCATGCCAACGGCCACCAAAACACCGAAGAGTACCACAGCCACACCAAGGAGCTGCAACGACTCATAGGAGCGACCAACAAGGACCACCTTGGGCCGTCGTGGGGATCGAGACACATGTGTCACCTCCAAAATAGTAATAGTAAAAGTATAATGGAATTTTACTATGTTCTCTCTAATATCTTTTAAATATCTGTTCTATTCTTTTGCTATCTTTTGTCATGGTGAAACACCATGTGATGTCTGACATTGCCCCTAGTTCTAAAATTCTCAGGAGGCAACGCTGAAGAGAACCGTGTAGGGGACAATGGACTGGTTCAAGACCTGCACCAATCCACCAGGCAGTTTGGCGGCCGCCGCGAAAACCAGGGGATAAAAGCATCCCTCGCCTGGGCTGAAGCAGCTTCCCAATGCCCATGACTTTTGAAACAGGCAAATGATGTGGCTATACAGGTATATAAACGGTATATACAGTATACATTGCATACATCCACAAGCCAAAAAAATGTAAATCACTCCACAACATTACCCCATTCATTCCACTTCTCAGAAGGATCCAGAAATAAACGACCAATGCTGGCCCTGAGATCTCCACAAAGTCCAGTGAGGCACAAGGGTACCCAAAAATCGGCCACGAAGGCTAAGAAAGGGCCTCAAGGATGGCAGCACTGGTTCACTACAAGGATGATTTTGATGTGGTTTAAAGTTTATAATGTATTATTTGATGCATTTTGATGTAGTTTGTGGGAGCTAGGATGAAATAGTAGGCACCACCAAAGCACCGAAATCAGGAACCGATAAACTTAAACTGCTGGACATCTGAACCCCTAAATCTGCCAAGGGATCCAAGAGGCTTAGGGACTGGTGCCAGGAGCGGCTCAGTAGCAGCAACAAATAGGCGGCCAACCTGATGCACACGCTGTCATGCTGTCAGGAGTCTGTTGTGAAATGTTTTAAGCCGTTCTGGGATTCTTTACATAAGTTTTAAACAATTAGACATATAGTTACATGTTGGTCAAGAATCTGACTATCCGCAATGGGAATTTCAGAATCCTAAAATGGAGGTACCGTACCACATAAGGCCATATTTTGGGGGAATATTCCCATACATAGGCCTTACATAGGCCTTATATATGGTAGGTACCTCCAATTTAGGTTCCTGAAATGGCCATTGATTATCCCACTGACCTCAGGAATTTTACCAGGTACACACAAAGAATAAAAACATATATAAACACACTGTGGATCTGTCCGGCTGACAGGCCACCCCTTGTCCCCTGCGGTGCCACAGTCTGAGGCTGGAACTGGGCAGCACTCGTGGCCAGCGAAAGGAAAAGGCTGTGCTTTGCCATGGGGACCTGCTTCAATCAAATGGCTTGATCTCAAGTGGGGGACCATGGGATACCGATGGATACCGGATACCTCAAAAATCCACCAATATCCCAAAGTGACAACTTTCGTGAGGAGATTCATGAACTATAAGTATCAATTGAGTGCCGGGCCAAGAGGATCCGGTTCGCCACTCTGTTCGCTACAGCCGACGTCAAGAAAGTCAAAACCAATAGCACGCCAGTGCCTGGCGAACCGGATATACATCGCCTTCTTGGGGCTGCAGTGCGAGTATATCCTCAAAAAAAACATGGGAATTTAGGGATTATGTCCCCAATTTTAGCCAGTTAAAACTTCCCCTCACTGATTCAAATTTGCTCAAGGACTCAAGGACTCAAGGATTCACAGTGACCTTGTGCTCGATTTCGACCCAGCGGAAGCGAAAGTCCTCGGAAATGGCTCAGGACGAAGATATGATCGGGTGATGGCAACACACCAAAAATCCACCAACTAACACACATCAAAGAAACGCCTCTCTATGTAAGTTTGTGTTCCAAGATTCATACTGTATTGAAACAGTAAATACAATTATATAATATCAATAAATTAGTATCAAATAACTACCTCTATGGCTCGATGTCCAGCAGCCAGAGATGTCATGATATGTCTCCTTTTGGAGCAGCCGCCGGAGGTCGAAACGCATCTCGGGGCGGTAAGTTCACGCTATGCCTGCGGGTTATGGCTGCTTAGTATAGCGCCATTACAGTAGATTCTTTCAGTTATAGATTTCAGGCATATAAGAAAATATTAATATATTATTATAATATTATATGTATATATACATATATGCCATCAATAACAATAATATACTGATATACTTATCAACTTATCAAACAACATTAGCCAGCTACTCAGTAGCTACTCAACTACTTTGCTTGGCTCGGTCTGTGGATGGTGCACGATTTATTCACCTACTGTCAGCTACTTTCAGTGTGGCTCACCATGACTCACCATGCCTGCCGCTTAAGCGCAAAACCTGGCACACTGAACTTCAGGATCTTAGAGACCGTGTTAAATGACAAAGAAATGACAAAGTGAATCAACGTGAAATTCAGAGGTCTTGGATACTACCCAGCACTCAGTACATCCAAACAAATGGGAATGTGGTTCTGATTTGTCGCCACCACAGGGGCGTGGACACTCAAGCAGGCATTTGAGAACCCACGTCGCATCATGGTGGTGCAACTTCCATACCAAATCATCCATCTCTCTTTCTCCACTCAGTGCATCTCAGTGCTACAATGTCAATTTCCAACAATAGGGCCCTCGTCATAACTGGGTAAACCAAATTATAAACCACCAACTTGGGCATTGTTTTTAGGATTTGCCATGATTTGCCCTAATTATTGGGGAAAATTATGTTCTGAACTTGGGACGAATGATCTACCCAATCTTACCCCTATTCGTCATAGGATCTTAGGCCTTCTCCAGGTACAGCTCAGAAATCTGAGTTCTTGGCTGGGGTTTCGCCACTGCTAAAGGCTGGAGGCAACCCGCTATGCGCTGCTGTCATTGCCACGGCGACAAGCAACGAATGTACTGCGATGTGATGTGGGTTGGTACTGGTGATGTGGGAGTTTCATGCAAAATCTGATGGCTTCCAATAAATTCTGATAGTTGAGAATCGGTCTGATTCTGTCTGATTCTGTCTGATTCTACATCTGCTGATATGTGCATCTGACATCATCTGACAATTATTTCTCAGAGTTTGATGAGGACACAGAGGTGCCTCTCAGGGCGCTGGTAGTTGTTTTGGTCTCTAAGTTAGGGTCTGTGATGGTCCCATGTCCACTACCAGGAAGCCCTTGCATTTCAGATGGCTCTTGAGTCGGAGATCCCTCGGAACTTCTCACAGAGTAGCTTAGGAAACACACCCTGTGCTGATGTACCTGCTTCTCGCTCCAAAAATCGAACGGCAACCTCAGGCGGTAACTGCAAGCTCCAATGCGTCCAATGCGCTACAAGGGCCTAGGGATCTTTTCCGAGCTGGGCGGCTAATTGTCCTTGTGATCCTTTCTTGCACGCACTGATGCAACTATTCCAAATTATGGCATCTGCCTCGAAGCCACGGTCTGTCAATTCCTTAGCTGGCAGTTGATTCATCTGCTAAGACTAAGACTGCTAAGAATGTTGCCCCCTGAAGGCACTGACTCTCTCTCTCTCTCTCAAAGAAACGGAGGCGGAGGTAATCACAAAAAATGGAAACTGTATACCCTCTGGTGAACTAACATAGCAATGGAAAATCACCATGCTATTAATGGGAAAATCCACTATTTCTATGGCCATTTTCAATTGCTATGTTAGTTCACCAGAGGGTACTGAAGGGGAAACAGGATCTGACAAGTGCTGCATTGCCTGCCTCAGTGCGCAGCGATGCGCAGCGCCCGCCAATTCAAGCTGCGTTGGGAATACTTGCATTGACACATTGCAGATACTACCGAAAATTTAGTCGAGCACCCAAAGATAGTAAGTCAATTTATATAAAATCCCAGTCAAATATATATATATATATATGTATGTATATATATATATGTATATAAAATCCCAGAAACATCCCAATCAGTTTGTTAAGTTTTTTTTTGCAATGGGGGAAAACATGGGGGGTCTCTGATTTTCGGAGATAGTTGGACCTTGGCCTTGGTAGATGTCTTGGTCCGCTTTCAAGGTATGCAGCCAAGAAACTGCCAAAGAGAGCCCTTGTCACATGCACTGATGCTGGCAGCGAATGCAATCAGGTTGGGCTCGAGAAACCGTCCTGCAGCAACTCATCGGGACCAGCAAATGCCAGCACCTACTGGAAACACCAAGGCGTTTTACGATGTGTTGCATGGTGTTACTCCCCCTAGCCCACGACTCTCAACAATTGAGAGATTGCGCCACTGATCCCGTTTCGCTTTTACAGCATCCGTCCTTGCAGTTCGCTGAAGAGAAACATGGTTCCCTGCCACTGGGAGGCTCTCCTAGGCCGCACATGAACAATTCGTTCCTGAATATCTCCCTAAAGAGTACTCTTTTGATCGCGAATCCTGCACACTGTAGCTGGAATGTTATACTTCAGGAAATATAGGGAAATTGAAATTGAAGTCACTTTTGAAGTCACTTGTAAGTCCAAGTGGATTGAAGAAGATTGAAGATTTCACTGAAAGTTGTTTTCAAACCGTCAATCCAGTGCTGAGAGTATGTTCGGCCGACGGGGGTTTATATACTGGATTCAAGATTGAAGATCATCAGGGGGCCAAAGAACTATAATTCAACACAGGAATTTTCCACCTTCAATCAGGCGGGATTTGCAAGTTACATCACGTGACTTTAAAGTGATGAACAAAATGGGTTCTACTCATTTTGGATTGCAGAGGCAGTCAGCACAAGACTTCTTTACACCACACCAACACAGTTGATTATCTGCATGTACAAAAGCCACGAATGACTTTGTTTTGCCACCGCGCTGTGCTTTATGGCACTCTTCCCAGTTGATGGTTGATGAGGGCCTTTCACCGTTTATATGCATTTGATACCACCCCAATGTAGAAAACATTCCGGCTTTGTGCACACAAGTCGCTCGCAGGCGCTCATGGTTGCGCAGTAGACAACTAGATTTGGTTCCGGCCCAGCATCTTTCCTGAATGGCAAGTACAGAAATGCCGCATATTGGCTGTCCTGGATTCCATTTAACAACCAAGATCCTTTTTGATTAAATATCGGAACAAAAAAATACTTAAGGACAGTTAACTGCAAAGGGTTGAGTGCTTTGTAATTCTGAGCGCTTTTGACCCCGAAAGAAATTCAGAAAGCATCTGCTCATTCAACTCAGCATCATGCCCCTCAACAGTTCCAGAGCTTCTTCCCAGGCTGCACCCTTTTTGCAGGCATTGATGCTGGCGCTGTAAGCAATCACATCCCCAAGCAAGCCTTCGGCCTTTGCAAACAAAAATGAACAGTAAACATCAGTAAACTCTCAGTTTCTCTCTCTTCATAGGTCGTGATGCTGGAAAAAAACAAGATGCAGCCCACGAACCCAAATGCAGTCACGTAGAACACTATTGTGAAACAAGTTATTTGAACAGTCTAATTTTTTTCCAGTGTTAACGTACCCGTGCACTGTAGACTGTGGAATGCGGAAGAGGGTGGAGTGTAAAGTGTAGAGTGTAGAGTGTGGAGTGTAAACTGTGGAGTGTGAAGTGTACAGTGTGGAGTGTAAAGTGTGGAGTGAGGAGTGTAAAGTGTAAAGTGTGGAGTGTAAAGCGTAAAGTGTGGAGTGTAGAGTGTAGAGCGTAGAGTGTGAAGTGTAGAGTGTAAAGGGTAGTGTGTGGAGTGTGGAGTGTAAAGTGTGGAGTGTAAAGTGTAGAGTGTGGAGTGTGGAGTGTAAAGTGTGGAGTGTGGAGTGTAAAGTTTGGAGTGAGGAGTGTAAAGTGTAAAGTGTAAAGTGCGGAGTCTAGAGTGTAAAATGTAGAGTGTGGAGTGAGGAGTGTAAAGCGTAAAGTGTGGAGTGTGGAGTGTGGAGTGTAAAGTGTGGAGTGTGGAGTGGAGAGTGTAGAGTGTGGAGTGTGGAGTGTGAAGTGTGGAGTGTGGAGTGTAAAGTGAGGAGTGTGGAGTGTAAAGTGTGGAGTGTGGAGTGTGTAAAGTGTAGAGTGTGTAAAGTGTAGAGTGTGTAAAGTGTAGAGTGTAGAGTGTGGTGGAGCATGGAGTGTAGAGTGTGGAGTGTAGAGTGTAAAGTGTTGAGTGGAAAGTGTGCAGTGTGGAGTGTAAAGTGTGGAATGTAAAGTGTGGAGTGCAAAGTGTGGAGTGTAAAGTGTAGAGTGTGGAGTGAGGAGTGTAAAGTGTAAAGTGCGGAGTGTAAAGTGTAAAATGTAGAGTGTGGAGTGAGGAGTGTAACGTGTAAAGTGTAGAGTGTAAAGTGTAGAGTGTAAAGTGTGGAATGTAAAGTGTGGAGTGTAAAGTGTAGAGTGTGAAGTGTAGAGTGCGGAGTGTAAAGTGTGGAGTGTGGAGTGTACAGTGTAAAGTGTGGAGTGTGGAGTGTAAAGTGTGGAGTGTAAAGTGTGGAGTGTAAAGTGTGGGGTGTGGAGTGTAAAGTGTGGAGTGTAAAGTGTGGCGTGTGGAGTGTAAAGTGTAAAGTGCGGAGTGTGGAGTGTAAAGTGTGGAGTCTAAAGTGTAAAGTGCGGAGTGTGGAGTGTAAAGTGTAGAGTGTAAATTGTAAAGTGTGGAGTGTGGAGTGTAAAGTGTGGAGTCTGGAGTGTAGAGTGTGGAGTGTAAAGTGTGGAGTGTAAAGCGTAGAGTGTGGAGTGTAAAGTGTGGAGTGCACAGTGTGGAATGTAAAGTGTAAAGTGTGGAGTGTGGAGTGTAAAGTGTAGAGATGTGTAGAGATGTGTAGAGTGTAAAGTGCGGAATGTGGAGTGTGGAGTGTAAAGTGTGAGGTGTGGAGTGTCGAGCAGGCAATGCGACACGTCACGTCTGAAGTGCTGCGCTTGCCACGCAAAATGGCGACAGAGATCTCCAAAATGTTGCTCCTGCCACGAAAACTGCAACTCATCTTGTGAAAACGACGCGAATTTACCACGCTTACCACGCAAAAGAACTTTCGACACGTAATCAAACAGGTTGGAATGTCACAAAGTGCCGCGCCTGCCACGCAAAACAACAATACAACCTGCTTGGAAACCTTCGAAAAGGAGAGGTTTTGCAGCTTCCCCCATAGACACGGCGAGGCCACAGGAAAACCAGAGACTCGAGACGAGACACGTGGGAGCATCAAAACGAGTATTTTGTGCGAGACTTCCTCCAATTTTCACACTTTGTAGCTTCAAAATCGACGTTTTCCTACGAGTTTTCTTAAGAACCTTTAAATTTGCTACCTCAAAATCGATGTTTCGTGCGAGGCTTCCGTCAATTTTCTGACATCTCACAAAATGCCACGCTTGCCACGGAATTTGCACCTTGCCGCCACTTGACACGGCCCTGACAATGCGATTCGCAAAAACAAGCAAAACGACACGTCTCAAGTGCTGCGCCTGCCATGCAAAATGACAATGGGCACGTCCGAAGCGCCTGCCACGAAAACTGCAACTCATCTTGCGAAAACGTCGCAAAAGTACTGCGCCTGCCACATAAACCGACTTTCGACACGTTACAAAACACCACGCCTGCCTCGCGAAACGAAGCAACGCCACATGTGAAACCTCCAAAAATGACCCCTTCTGCAGAACTTACCATAGGCAAGGCCATACGGCCATCACGCGAACGGTTGCGAACGGTTGCGAACGGTTGCGAACAGTTGCGAACGGTTGCAAACATAAACGCAACGTCGAGCGAACACACCCTCAACCCCCAGACCCCCAGAGTGAAACGGGAACCCTTGCCACGCATTCGGGAATAACCCAAAAAAACATCGCTATCACAGCTGATTTGAAGGGAAAAAAAAACAGTTCCCTCGTTTCTTCCCTCTGGCCCAAGAGTATCAGGCCTCCATTCGCTTCAGGACCCATAGTGCAGTTTGCCATTTGGAAGATTTGGCACAAGCACTGATGGCTGCAGTCTGGACTACCACATTGCTTTGCAGCCTCTGAAAGTGTTAAGGTAAACCATTGGATGCCCCTGCATGCAACGATCGCCACGCCATCTATTAGCTTTAGCCCCATGATGTGCCATGTCTGTTGGTGCTACCGCGCACCACTTTTTCCCCATAACTGCCATTTTGATCCATTTTGAAGGGCACATTCACATGTGGCATCCTATACAGTATACGCAGTATACGCAATATACGCACATTTCGGTCGTGCATGCTTGTTGCACACCACATGAACAGCATCTGTAATCTCCTTCTTTGTAGGCTGATAGGGATTCCGATACTGGATCAAAACATAAAATTAGCTCTTTCTGGTTCAACACTCAGGAATACTTTCAAAAAAATACTGATAATTATAGGGGATAAATAATGTGTTGCCAACATGTGTCAACAATTATCATCACAAATATCACAAGAATGACAAACATCAGATAAACATAGATAAACGTTTTATAAACATCACCAATAACATCTTGATTTCCATCTGTGCCTCCTTTCGAGCATATCTTCCAATAAGAGCAAGGCGGCCATCCATTGAGCGCCTTTCTCGCATGCACTGATGCTGGCCTTGGTTCTCTCGCTGGGAATTAATCGCGTCTAAACCTACAGTGAACTATAAACGATATGTGAACTATATTATGGGTACTATATGGGTACAAACTATAATAGGGTACTAGATGGTACTAGTGTGAGTCAAAACCGCCTACCCTGGCGAAGAATCCGGCTGGCAGGAATTTCTCAACGAGCCGAGTACATGGTGTTTTCCCAACAAGCCCAACAGGACATCAAAATCAACCAAAACGCGCCATAGGTGACCGCGTCGGCTTGGATGTAACTGATGTCCATCGTTGTCAAATTCTGCAAGGCTCCCTCCCAGTCTGAAACTTTCCTTGGCTTCTCTCGGCTGGGCGAAAGCTGACAGAAACTCATTCGACAATATCGGAGGTTTAGCTATAACTACCCTTAGCTGCTAGACCTTTGAAATCAAAGGGTTTGCAGACAAACCTCGGCTTTCGCCAAAATCTCAGCAGAACCTCGGGTTTCTTGTGAAAACCTCGGGTTTGGCTCAAACCCTGCAATTCAAAGCAGGGTTTAAACTAAGATGATGGGAACAACTATAATAATTAATCCGCACGGGTGGCCTGTTGCAGAAGAAAATTGAGCAGAAGAAGGATTCTTGTGCGGAAAAAAAAGTTCCAACTCAAACCCATAGCCGTACTAACCATATTTTTGGCATAGAAACCTCGGGTCTATGCCGAAACCTCGGGTTTTCCAAACCCGTACTTAACCCCTGCGAAACCCATGTTTTACCTGTATCAACCCATTATTCTTTAAATGGGTTTGATCGGCCTGTATGACATGGTAGGCAAATGTTGCATGGTCCGTGAGGGAACATCGTGAACCGGGGATGAACATGAAGTCTTTGCATTTGGTAAAACTAGCTGAAAGCAAAACAGCAAAACCTCGGGTTTCCCTCAAAAACATCGGGTTTTTGGCGTATCCTTTATTATTGAAGGTTTAGTTGGTCAAGGAAAATATTATAGCTGGATACATTACAGGCTTACCGGATATACTGCTATTTATTTAGCTGTAATGGCAAGTCACATGCTCTGCCTGTAGCAATCGCCATTTTCCGAGCAGTATACAAACTGCCACTTAGCATCCGAGATTCTCACAGAAGCTGATGCTAGCATTGAAGGTCACCAGGTCGGCATCCAGGGATGCATTTCTCATCTCTGCGACCAGCTGAGCAGCCAGATCTTTTTGGCCAGCTGCACATTCGCATGCAGAGATGCAGCTGTTGTAAGAGATATTGTCCTTGCTGTGATTTCTTCCCCCTGGTCAGGTAACTGATGCACTCATATCGGTCGAATGAGTATGTTTTGTGTGTGCATTTAAACATGCATTGTACCTTCCAGAAAAAATGATGAAGCTGGTACGTGGCGGCTTCTGCTGAGGTACGGACCTCACATTCGACCCTACCGCAGCCTCACATTCGACCCTACTCCAAAAGAACCGCACGCACCCTCACATTCGACCCTACCCTACCAAAATACGCAACCCTTCCAGGAAAAAAACAACATTTCCCGGTTCACATTTGACCCTACCCCACTTTACCCTGCCTCAAACCAGACATCCGTGAACCAACCCCCCTTGAACAATCACATTCATTGGTATCAAATCAACCAGCCCCCCTTGAACAATTACATTCATTGCTATCAAATCAACCAGCCCCCCTTGAACAATTACATTCATTGGTATCAAATCAACCAGCCCCCCTTGAACAATTACATTCACTGGTATCAAATCAACCAGCCCCCCTTGAACAATTACATTCTTTGGTATCAAATCAACCAGCCCCCCTTGAACAATGACATTCACTGCTATCAAATCAACCACAGCCCAAAAGGGGCGGGAGAACAGGGGGAACAAAAGGAAAAAAAAAAGAAAAAAAAAAAACAACATTCATTGCTATCAAATCAACCAGCCCCCCTTGAACAATGACATTCATTGGTATCAAATCAACCAGCCCCGCTTGAACAATTACATTCATTGCTATCAAATCAGCCAGCCCCCCTTGAACAATTACATTCATTGCTATGAAATCAACCAGCCCCCCTTGAACAATTACATTCGTTGCTATCAAATCAACCAGACCCCCTTGAACAATTACATTCATTGCTATCAAATCAGCCAGCCCCTTTGAACAACAACATTGATTGGTATGAAATCAACCAACCCCCCTTGAACAATTACATTCATTGCTATCAAATCAACCAGCCCCCCTTGAACAATGACATTCATTGGTATCAAATCAACCAGCCCCCCTTGAACAATTACATTCATTGGTATGAAATCAACCAGCCCCCCTTGCACAATTATATTCATTGCTATCAAATCAACCAGCCCCCCTTGAACAATTACTTTCATTGCTATCAAAATCAACAGCCCCCCTTGAACAATTACATTCATTGCGATCAAATCAACCAGCCCCCGTGAACAATTACATTTCATTGCCATAAATCAACCAGCCCCCCTTGAACAATTACATTCATTGTATCAAATCAAACTAGCACCCCTTTTTTTGAACAATTACATTCAAACAATTATATTCATTGGTATCAAATCAACCAGCCCCCTTGAACAATTACATTCATTGCTATCAAATCAACCAGCCCCCCTTGAACAATTATATTCATCGGTATCAAATCAACCAGCCCCCCTTGAACCATTACATTCATTGCTATCAAATCAACCAGCCCCCCTTGAACCATTACATTCATTGGTATCAAATCAGACAGCCCCCCTTGCACAACTACATTCATTGGCATCCAATCAAACAGCTCCCCTTGAACCATTACATTCATTGGTATCAAATCAACCAGCCCCCTTGAACAATTACATTCATTGGTATCAAATCAACCAGCCCCCCTTGCACAATTATATTCATCGGTATCAAATCAACCAGCCCCCCTTGAACCATTACATTCATTGCTATCAAATCAACTAGCCCCCCTTGAACCATTATATTCATTGCTATCAAATCAACCAGCCCCCCTTGAACCAATACATTCATTGGTATCAAATCAACCAGCCCCCCTTGAAACAATTACATTCATTGCTATCAAATCAACCAGCCCCCGTGGAACAATTACAGTCATTGCATATCAAATCAACCAGCCCCCTTTTTGAACAATTCAGTCATGGCTCAAATCAACCCCCCCCTTTGCACAATTATATTCATTGCTATCAAATAAAACAAAACCCCTTGAACAATTACATTCATTGGTATCAAATCAACCAGCCCCCCTTGAACAATTACATTCATTGATATCAAATCAACCAGCCCCCCTTGAACAAGTACATTCATTTGTATCAAATCAACAAGCACCCCCTTTGAACAATTACATTCATTGGTATCAGATCAACCAGCCCCCCTTGAACAAGTACATTCATTGGTATCAAATCAACCAGCCCCCCTTGAACAAGTACATGCATTGGTATCAAATCAACCAGCCCCCCTTGAACAATTACATTCATTGGTATCAAATCAACCAGCCCCCTTGAACAAGTACATTCATTGGTATCAAATCAACCAGCCCCCCTTGAACAATTACATTCATTGGTATCAAATCAACCAGCCCCCCTTTGAACAGTTACATTCATTGGTATCAAATCAACCAGCCCCCCTTGAACAATTACGTTCAGTGGTATCAAATCAACCAGCCCCCCTTGAAAAGATCTTCAGGACTATCAAATAAACAGCCCCCCTGAACAATTACATTCATATGCGGGCAATCAAATCAACCAGCCCCCCCTTGAACAAATTACATTCAGTGGTTTATTCAACATCAACAGCCCCCTTGAAAAATTACAGTCATTGCTTATCCAAATCAACTAGCCCCCCCTGCCCCCCTTTCAACAATTACATTCAACAATTGCATTCATTGCTATAAAATCAACCAGCCCCCTTGAACAATGGACATTATTGTATCAAATCCACCAGCCCCCCGTTGAACAACAATTACAATCATTTGGTATGAAATCAAACCAGCCCCCCTTGCACAATTATATCATGCTATAAAATCAACCAGCCCCCCCTTGCCCAATTATTCTCATTGCTATCAAATCAACCAGCCACCTTGAACAATTACATTCATTGCCCCTGGCACAATTACATTCATTGGTATCAAATCGACCAGCCCCCCTTCAACCATTACATTCATTGGTATCAAATCAACCAGCCCCCCTTGAACAATTATATTCATTGGTATCAAATCAACCAGCGCCCCTGGCACAATTATATTCATTGGTATCAAATCAACCAGCCCCCTTGAACAATTACATTCATTGCTATCAAATCAACCAGCCCCCCTTGAACAATTACATTCATTGCTATCAAATCAACCAGCCCCCCTTGAACAATTACATTCATTGGCATCAAATCAACCAGCTCCCCTTGAACAATTACATTCATTGGTATCAAATCAACCAGCCCCCCTTGAACAATTACATTCATTGCTATCAAATCAACCAGCCCCCCTTGAACAATTACATTCATTGCTATCAAATCAGCCAGCCCCCTTTGAACAACTACATTCATTGGTATGAAATCAACCAGCCCCCCTTGAACAATTACATTTTCATTGCTATCAAATCAACCAGCCCCCCTTTGAACAATTACATTCATTGGTATCAAATCAACCAGCCCCCTTTGAACAATTACATTCATTGGTATCAAATCAACCAACACCCCTTGAACAATTACATTCATTGGTATCAAGTCACGCGGGATACGAAATTACGCGCGCACGCGGGATAGGAAATACGCAGGTCTGGGAAGCATACCCAACAATCGCAAGGGGGAACGCCGCACACAACCAGACACGCAGGGGGGACGGAGGAAGGTGGGATCAAAAGATCCCTATGCATATATATATATATATATATGCTGTGTATCCGGCCAAACTGATTACTCAGTATCTGGCGTGTCCGATCATCATCCTCCTCATCATCGACATCATCCTCCTCCTTCACATCACCTACTCAATCCAGGTAAGTAAAACACACACACATCCATCATCATCATCATCATCATCATCATCATCATCGTCATCATCATCATCATCATCGTCATCATCATCATCATCGTCACTTATGGGACCGGATAACCCCACATGCCAACTTCTTCCAAAAGCAAAAAACAACCAAGAAGATGGGAGGGGAAAGGCAGCAAAGGTAAAGGAGATGGTGGAAGACAGATTGTGTGAAAGAGCTGTGTGTGACAAAGTTGTATGTGACAAAGTTGTGTGTGACATCATCATCATCATCATCACCATCACCATCACCATCATCACGATCATCCGTCATCATCAAAATTGTCACCATCATCATCATCACCATCATCACCGTCATCACCATCATCATCATCATCATCATCACCATCATCATCATCATCACCATCATCATCATCATCACCATCATCATGATCGTCCATCGTCATCATCATCATCATCATCATCATCACCATCATCATCATCATCACCATCATCACCGTCATCATGATCCTCATCATCATCATCATCATCACCATCATCATGATCGTCCATCTTCATCATCATCACCATCATCATCATCATGATGATAATCATCATCTCCGGGACCCTCTTTTCGCAGCTAAAAACGCTACTTTCTCACATTCGACCCTACCCCAAAATGGGGGTAGGGTCATATGCGAAACCATTGGGGTAGGGTCAAATGCGAGGCGCGTACCCTTCTGCTGTTTCGACCCTCACTGGCGGTTCCAGATAAATCATGATAAATCAAGCGAGCAGCAGGTTGCAAAGAGGCTTGTTTCATCTCATCTAGCAAGGCCAGTGCATGCTGCCACACAGAGCTTCGACCGCATGCATGGATACCTAGCTCCCCAGCACAAACCACCGAGAAGCACAAATATCAAACCATATCAAACCCAAAGCCTGACTACAAATAGACTACAACAGCATACAACAGCCCAAGATAGCGCCAAAGATAATAAAGATATCGAAAGATCTGAGAAGATCTGAGAAGATCCGAGAAGCTGGAATTGTAGGTAATGACATTGGGTTGCACCCGCATGCTGCGCATCTTCCCCAGCAGCTGCAAGACTTTGGTCCAAGTTCCCAAGCTGCCCAGCTGGGAGATGACTTTGGTGTGTTGCCGAAGCGCTAATGGCGCCATCAGCGCGGCCCATGGGAGCTCTGGATTGATTGACGAGTCAATGAGGCGATTGAGAAAAACCTTGGCTTGAGCCAAGCTCTATAGAGATTCAAATCAGCCAATGCAAAATGTTGATGGATGTCATTAGATGTTGTCGCAGCTGAGGGTAATGGCTGCAACCGCACGAAGTGAAATTTAGAATGCCTCCTTTTCTGATGCTTAAAATGCCACCGGATATGGCAGCCAGGCATCCTAAGGCTACGCTTCTTGCGGGCTTCGAAAGACACCACAGAAGAGATTGCCATTGTGTCTCTTTTTGAACAGATTAGCACCCACAGTGAGAAGTAGGAAACACCTAGACTATCCTAGACTCATTAGCTCTTGAATTGGCGGGACATCTGGCGCATTTCCAAGGACGTTCAGGACTCAATATCTGGCAATCCCTCAGGATGTCCGAATCTCTGTGCCCTTCAGCTCTTCAATGGAGCCTTGTCTTCCTTTTTCTTGTCCACCTGAAGCCGTGCACTTCTAGGAACCCTGAGTTGCTGGCCCGACCTTGCAGCAAAAGGTTGCAGTAGTAAATTGAATGTAAAACATCATGGATCATCGAGCCAAAGCCAAACACTTCTTTGGTCCAAGAGTTGGCCTTGATGTTGGACCCTGCGATGGTAGTTCCTCCAATGGCTAGAGTCAAAAAAGAAAGTGCATGGAAACACTCAACGTTGCATGAGGCAAGAACATAATATTGCAAGATTATAAGTTATACATATAACTATAACTTTATATTAGAAATGCACATAGATCACATCCTGTCAGAACCTGCCAAATTACCTGACTGTGAGTGATCCCCACCCTGACATATTATTCTGCCATTCTTTCTGCCATTCTATCTGACATGTATTCTGACATTCTATTTGCCATTCTATCATTCTATCTTGCATTCTACTAGTATCTGGCATCTATTCTGACATTCTATCTGGCATTCTAGCAGACACATGTTCTGACATTCTACCTGGCATTCTTTCTGGCATTTTATCGACGAGCTGGCAGAAGCAAGAGGCGGAGACGGTGGACGAGGACGAAGGAGGAGAACGAGGAGGAGAAGAGGAAGAAGGACCGGGCAGGTGGAGAACAAAAACATCAAAAACATACATCATTTCTCTGAGCTGTTTCGATTTTGCCAACCCGGGCCACAACGTTGGTGATACCGAAATAATGATCCCCCAATGCTCCTGTCTTTTTGCCGTGGAGCGCTTTAGCCTTCTCCGCCTCGGATGATGCAAGAGACATCCACCTAGTGCACCGGGCACCTATGAAGTGTGGCCTGACAAAATTGACATGCCATCATCATGCCATCATCATGCCATCATCATGCCATCATCACATCATCATGGCTGCACATTTGAATACCTTTGATGTTTCATGTCAAACAGATTCCCTGAGCGTCTTGTCCTCACTTGTCTGAAGACGTCTGGACAAGGGCTGGCTTGGGCGAGCGCCGATGTGAGCTTCACAATTTGGATCACATCTTCGTCATGCAAAATGTGATCCTTGCCACACACCTGAACCAAGTGCAGGGACACCGACCGTTTGAAACTCTATCTGACAATTACAGTATATATAGGTTAAGTTATACCCCCAAATCTACTGGTTAATCATCTTCCCTATTGAAACACATTAAATTTGCCACTTGGGGTTGGAGGTATGCCCCATGGAACTCATACATTCTACAACACCACGAGCCCCATCACTTTCTCGGCCCGCCTGGGGAGATTGTTTGACGCTGCTGCCCCACACGAGGGCATGCTTGAAGTCTTCCAGCAGCGATTCTAGGCATGGCCAAGTGATATCAAGTGATGTCAAGTGCAACACTGTCATTGAAGTAATCACATGCAAAAGCATGGAGAAAGGCTGGTGGGTGGTTTCAACTCCCATATCTCCCATTCCAAATAGCCAACTGATCTTCCAGCTCAAGGATGGAACGTGAGCATGTCTGAAATTACCAACCAGCTTGTAAATAGCACAGAACTCTAAAATAGCAGGAATTACATTGTGAAATAGCGTGAATATGTATATAAATCCACATGTCTGCAGGTCTATGTCTTGGCTATACTCTCCAAAAAATGTGGCAGTTGAAGTTTGTATGCGAGCATCTGTGCAACAGCAGCACGGCGTTTTCAACCGTAAACTGCTTGTTTCCGCGCTGTGGAGTGATGATGATAGGGTCCTTGGAAGGCAAAAATCTGAATTTGATGAGGGTGAAATGATCATATATCATATATTCATATATCCTGTTACATACCCTCTGGTGAACTAACATAGCAATGGAAAAGCACCATTCTTAATGGGAAAATCCACTATAAATAGCCATTTTCCATTGCTATGTTAGTTCACCAGAGGGTAAACACCATGAAATCACATGGGGTGAATAGCGGCAGCAACCTCCACGCTCCATACATTTCCATACACCGTACATCAAAGCAAGTAGCCGAGAAGTCTGGAAACTGGCCTTTCTTCTTGGTGTAGACCCTGCAATGTCATGCAATATCAATCTGACAGTAGGATCCCAGGGTCACAGAAAATACCAGAAAATAGAACAATGCTGCTCAAAGATCTATTCATCAATGGATTGGTTTCAGGGAAATTCACATGAAAGTCCCGTATTTCATGGGAATCATGGGAAATCCAATGGAAATCCATGGTTTCCTATAGGTTTTCCCTTCAACTCAGCTGTCCAAGGCAATGCCGCGCCTGAGAATTTCCATCTCATCCCACAATCTACGCAGGAGAAACTCCTCAGCTCAACTGATCTCAATTGATTCAACTGGCCCTGGATATCCCTGGATATCCCTGGATTGGTGGATTCATGAGATTCATATTGCATGAAACGAGATGGAACGCTTGGCACATGGTCCCGATGCAAGTTGACCTTGAAATGTAGCACTGTAGCATTATCAAATCATGCGGTGCCGTTACCTCCCCTGACCACTTCGTTCCAGGCAAGCAGCGTAATTCCATTTGTTTTGAACCTCAGGGTGAATCAAATTCCGAAAGTTCGGTCTCCTGCTCAGCCACTAGTTATAGCTTCATGATTGGCAAAGTGCCAAGGGGATCCAAGGGGCTGAAACGACCACGGATTGTGGTCTTCTAGCCAGCTCATCCACTTCTTCGAGTTTCAACAAATCTATCCTTGGTTTGATGAGGTGGTGCAAGCCCTGTTTGGGGCAACCACCAGGACACTGGCACTGTCATTTCTACACGGATCTTGTAAGTATTGCATGCATGCTATTGTATGGTATTGTCATATTGTATCATATTGTATCATATTGTATCATATTGTATCATGATTCATGTCTTGTCTTCACGGCGGCACAAGGTCAAGATGCAGCTCAAGAATTCGCATCCAAGCTGCTTGTTGTACACGTAAATACCTCTGCAGACATAGAAAGGCTCATTTTCCGTTGTTTTTTGGAACAGCCAGGTGTAAAACCGTTGCAGAATAAATGCCATGTCCATGCAAACAGCGTGGCCCAAAACCATACTGAAATAGGCTCAGGTGCATTTACAATACTTTCGATTTCCGTCAATGACGTCGATGAAATCATCTACTGTGATGTCCTGCAAGTAGACGGCCACAAAGTTTGCACGGGCTTCACTGGGGACCAATGTTGGCGTCTAAACACGCGAGCATCAAACACGCACAGACACAGCAATCCTCTCTAACCAACACATCAGCGTTGTGCATCTTGTACCTCATGGCTCTGGCTGTGGGATGCAAGACATGCCGTTGCGGTCACGTCGGACGAGGCCCAGGCTGCTTCAGCACTGTTGCACAAACCTCTTCGTCAAAATGGTTCAGTGGAACAGTCGCCTGGAACTTCAATCCTCCAGGGCGAATCACCAGTGATGCAACACATGGCGACACATGGCTAAAAACAAAAGAAAGAAACTAGGGCTAACCATGGCTAACCGGTAAAACTTCAAAGATCTGCAAAACGTAAAACATCACAAAACCACAGAGCAAAGTATATCCACTCCTCCTCCTTTCGTTTGTCGCACTGTCACATCCGGAGGTTTCCGATTCAATCGGATGCCGACATTCTCCAACTCCTGACCATTCAAAAAAAAACAGAACAACTGTTGAACTTAAGCACCGACGCTCTGGGATCACCTACAAAACACGCTAACCAGGAAGAATCAGAAATCGTTTCAGTGTCCAGCACCAGCTTCGCAATGTCCTTTGTCAGCATCTCCTTTTGCGCATCATCCTTTGTGGGATCTAAGACCTCAGCGATCAAAGCCAGCTAGAGCCATGATCCACCTGTATAATGCGGCAAGTACGCCGCACTATATTACTATAAAATGGGTTGAGGTTTTCTGATGATGGATCAAAACGATGAATGTTGGCTTGTTTCAATCTGTACTGACAGTTTTTTACCAAACCCCAAATATCAGTGCGTCCCCTGCTTCTGTCAGCTTTTTCCTGAATGGCTCATGCTGAAAAATAGATTCAAGATGATTCAATAATATCATATAATTCTCAACTCTGGAAGATTGTACGCCCAGTGCGCTTTCCAGAATTTAAGATCTTTAAATTCGCATAATTACTATATTTTACAAACCTGAAATAAGGCCATTTTGGGATGATTTCCCTTATTAACCATGATTCCAGTGAGGTCGCAGTGAGGTCGTTATAATTTACCTGGATACATGTATGTAACCTCGAAGCACCTCAACATAAGCTGCTACAAAAATACACATCCAATTTTTAACAACCCTTCGTCCAAAAAAAACGAGGGTTTCATGACAGTTTGATTCCTACAACATACAACTCGAAACCATCCGATACCAATGTGTGGACCCTAAAATGAACCCGCTACAGGCGGGTCGCAAGTTGTTGAGAAGTCCCCGACCTCCCTGCACCAAGTCACCATCAAAATGATGTCGCAAGACTTGGCCGTTGCCTGCAGAGTCACGGAAGGGCCCCACGGGATCTGTTGGAACAGCTATTCCATGCTATTCCTGCATATTCCTGCATCCTACCTTCAGATTCCCCCAGAATTCCATGGCACAATATTTGTAGTTTCTGTGGCTTCTGCTCCCTCCCTCAAATTTCTCCCAAGTCACAATGACTTGTCGTCCACGACCTTTCCCAGTGGAAGCACCTTCAGTAACCCCCTGGACTCCTGGACTACTGGGTTTCAATCATGTTGAAGCTACTGCTACTGGTGGAAAAGGCCAACCCAATAACAAACCACAGCCAATTTTACCACCGTCCCAAATGGTAGGTCTTAAAAAAAAGTGGGTGTAATTCCCATGGCTTTTTTTAGCTATTTACCATGAGTTCCCCCGAGTTGCCCCCCATCCCATACTGGCTTTTTTTTTTGACCCGGGCACCAACAATCAACCCGGGCAAGTCTAAGAGCTGGATGCGAACGTCATTGTAGTAGATCACCCCCGGGATGCAGGTCAATGTGGTGAACCTACCAAGGGAGCCCGGAGCCAAAAAGGAAGGGATCGCTTGATCCTAGGATGTCCCCAAGGGGATTCCTATAGGATATCCTAGGATCAAGTGATATCAAGTGAGGAATGACCAGGTTGGGCATCAGTCTGGGCAGATCGTTTTGGAATCGGCGAACATTTCGATCGTTGGGGACCACCCAATTGCGGGCACAGGCTGCATCTGTCTGCCGAGGCCGCAACTCGTATGCAGCAGCCTCCGACCTCACACCAAGGTGGGCCATGGAAAGAGCTGCGAGAGTTGCATGGAAGGGTGCAAGGGGTGCAATGGCATGCAATAAGGGTCCATATGAGTCATAAGAGGCATGAGTGTTGCGGTAGAATGAATATGGGTTTGTCCAAATATGGGGTCCACCCCAAATCTGGCGGTTTGATGGGAAAAATGATGATCAATCATTGCGAGAGCACAACTTTTTCGGAGAGGTCATGAGTCATGACTCTTCTCTCAGTGCCACACTGTACGCCGGTGAGAGCTGTGAGCAAGGAAGACTTCCCGACTGAAGGAAAGCCAACAAGTCCAATGCGTGCATCTCCAATCTTCTGCACCTGCAAGTCCCACCAATGTCATGGCAAGTTTGGGGAATTCAACCCATCAGAAATCAACCGCCACCCTCATGAGGTCTTCAATGATTCAGACTCCCAATCTCTGTTTGCTTTGGCTTTGTGCACCTCGAAGCCTGCACACTTGCCGCCACCTGCGAAATCAAAGACACAAAGACACAAGAAAGAATCAAGGCAACACCTGCGACACCTGCGACACCTGCGACACTTTCAATGTGCAAAGTGTCAGGTGTTGTCCTTTCCAGTTCTTCCAATGTTTGGGACACCCCATCATCCAGCTCCACCCATCAACATCATCAACGGTGTCCCCCGTGGTGGCTTGACGATGCTTGAAGTCTGGTACCTGAATGTACCTGAAAACCTGGCCTCCGCCCGAAGGTTCCAGCAAGTCACGCTTGAGCTTGCACAACTTGGCCTTGAGCCTTTGAACAAAATGAGGTTGTCTGTTGCTGATTTTGCAGGTGATACACTATGAAGTTGTCCTGAAATGTGGGAACATTTTACACATATTGAAACACCCAAGTGCGTTGAAATCGATAGAAAATGGGGATAAGGGAGGCCCTATTGATTGGTTTCCTGCACGATTTTTACGGAACCAAAAATTAAATTCCAATCACTAATTGATCAGCCAAAGCTCATCAAAGCTCTGAGATATGAATTCATCACAATCATATAAATTATATATATATTATATCCGGATATATCCGGTATACCATGGTATACCCTCTGGTAATTTAACATAGCTATGGAAAATCACCATTTTTAATGGGATAAAATCCACTATTTGTATGGCCATTTTCAATAGCTATGTTAGTTTACCAGAGGGTACCCTCCCCTAATCAAACACTTGGAAAATCCCCCATGATTTTCCCAGCCGTATTTCAACCTCCAGCAGCTGGGGACTCTCACTCTCCAAGATGTTTGGCTGTTGCCTTGGAACATCGGCCAGGGCAAAGATGAAAGGGGTACCAGATGGTACCAGTAGCATTAATAAAAACAGAAGCCTGCTAGGTGCCATAGGTTCATAGGTGTCAACATATCAAAAAATATCAAAAAATTGCATTCAAACACTGGAAATACTGAAAGTATCTGAAAGTATCTGAAAGTACTGTCCCAATGAAGTATGACGCAGCGCCACAATCAGTGCAGTAATTTCAACTCCGACGATCTCAAGCCATGTCCAGCACCTTGTTCTTCTGCGTTCTGGAGATCTCCAACTCGATCTGCTGAATCCGCTCCAAAGTGCTACCGCCTGTGCCATGTTTTTCGAAGATGGTCGTCCCGCCATACATTTTCATAGGGGTTAAGATACCCATTATGGAAATAAATCCTGAAATCCCATGAAATCCCTAATTAAGCCTGGCAAAGTAAATGACCCCATTATTAATTTGTGTTTTCGTTGTTTCGAATTTCAAATATACACACTCAATCATATTGAATCATACTGAGTCATATCAAATGATATTTTGAAATAACATGCATTATGTTTCATCATACCAATACCCTATGGTTTCCATAGCCATTGTCAATTATCTTGCACGAACATACCATGGCCCCACCTCCTCCTGCAGATTGGTGCTTGGCTTTCGCCCAGCCACCTCCACCAACGTTGCTGCCAGCCTGGGGGAAAACACTGATGAATCACACGGTGATCGCATGGCATCACCCGTAAATTTACTTTCCTAGGTCATAGTGAATTTGCTAGGCTAGCATTTACAATTTACTTTCCTAGGCCATTGCAAATTTACTAGCCAGAAGACCTATTCCAGTCAGAAGAACGATTCCAGTCAGAAGAACGATTCTTGCCGGAAGAACGATTCCAGTCAGAAGAACGATTCCAGTCAGAAGAACGATTCTTGCCGGAAGAACGATTCCAGTCAGAAGAACGATTCTTGCCAGAAGAAAGGTTGGCAGAAGAACGATTGTTGGCAGAAGAACGAATAGTTGCAGGAGAACGATTGTTTGCAGGGGGGCGATTCTATCCAGGAGTGAAATAGCTGTTTGTCCAATATGTTTTTTGATGACTTACTTTACTTGCACACATTCTCGTCCCAATGATTTCCTGCAGAAACAAGCCAGAAGCATTTGGGTCATCTGAGCTACGACAAGGAGACAAGCTGCCAACATTGGTCCGAGATCGGGGACACGAGAAACTGAAGCATCCCAACATGTCAAAATGATTGCATGGAATTCGCTGCTCGGCAAAAAAAAGCACTGAAAAGAATTGAACAAGCTACCAATTTCGCAGAAATGAAACGAAGCGCTGATAATGAAAACATGTAGAAATTATTTCACCATGACAATCGTGACACCATTAGATAAATACCCTCTGGTAAATTAACATAGACCCTGGCAGATAGGGGTTGGAAGACTAGTTTCCATTAAAAATTGGTGATTTTCAGGGCCTATGTTAATTTACCAGAGGGTATTCAAACAATAGAACACATGCCCATTTCCCGGTGAAAGCCATGCCTTGGCCGATGACTTTGAATAGGATGCCATGATCAGCTTGATCAGCTCTGTCAGCGTCAGGGTCGGTACATAGGCATGGCTACACTCTCAGAGCCAATGAAAGTGGATAGCTGCTGGTTTCTGTGAACTACCCTCTGGTAAACTAACATAACTATGGAAAATCACCATTTTTAATGGGATAATCCACTATTTGTATGGTCATTTTCAATAGTTATGTTAAATTACCAGAGGGTAACTGAACAAAGTTCAGTCCAAGGCCATGTCTAAAGTCACATTGCTGAAGAGGGCAGACTTAAGTGCTGTTTTCATCCGCACATGTTCAGTCACATGGGAAGCTTATGGAAGCTTGTAGATGACCTGAGGCCATATCAGTAGCGCATGTCTCCATGCATTTCAGGCGATTGAGCCGCCAAAAGCTAAAGATCGCTTTTTAGGGTGATGCCCGCAGTAAAAATCATACATCTTTGGCAACCCCTGGGCACGTGAACCATGCATATATCATCATATATCAGCGCATTCCCATTTGGAAAGAAGGGGAAAAAGGTGGAGCAAAGTGCTGCTCTGGGCATGGTATGCACATGATCATGTAAGCAGAACAAGTTTCACCTGTTGCATCGCATCTGTCACTCCGTCCCTGTCAGCAACTCTCTGTTTCTTTTTCTTGTCACGATGTCGTGTCATACATCTCCGAGTAGTTCCATACCTTGCTGGCCGGGCTACAGATTTCTCAATTCAGTGGGTTGTGACAACAGGTCGGCCACAAGAAACTTGCCAAGACAAATCAAGGGTGCAAAACTTTATTATGCAAGCGTTAAGGTGCCGTCGCAGCGCTTGGTGTGAAACCCAAGCCTCCGTAGAAAGACATTGCCTCAGTGGACAAGGCGGCGCTACACCATCTCACCCGACCCACCCATCTGCAATCCCTGCTGCCAAGGAACTGAAGCATTTTCGGAGAGGCAAAACCAGGCGATTTCGGGCAAACCCGCTTCTTGGCATTCAGCAAAAACTCTTGACATCAACGCCTGAGCAAATGATTTTAGATGCTCTGGCTTATCTCCATGTAGTGTTTGGCAATGTTGGATGAGGTTGCACGCCCATGAAATACCATAAGTCCAAGCCCTTGAGGGGACGGGGGCATATATATATATATATATAGGGTGAAGGACCAATGAAATTTTAGACCAGGAAACTACATCGCCAGTGAGAAACAACTCTATATATATAATATTATATAATAATATGGAATCTGAACATAAACTCATAACTGCCAAAATACAAACATGTACTGTAGTCCCCAAAGCACCCTGTGCCATGTTTGGGTGATACTATGTGATATGTATTATTGGGTCCCCCAACCCTGCAGCAACTAGCTTCAACTGTTTATAGCCAGGACGCCCGCCCAATGCCCTTGCCTCAAGGATTGTTCAATGGCAACATATTTCCACAACATCTTGTCATGCAAAGCAACCAACATTTTGCCATCACTTTAGCCCTATTCACATTATATAAACATTTGGAAACGTAGAATAATGTGCGATTCTATATGATCATGAATATCATGAATATCAATCAATCATATATCTTGAATATCATGAAAGACCTCTACAAGCTCCAGAAAACAAGATAAAACAAGCATTCATACGCCATTCCACGCCTGATGCTGCTGGCGCCACAAAAATGTCCTGCAGAAATCCGCGCCAGGCTTGAGGATTTTCGGCATCCCAGGCGTCGACCGAACTGGGTCGCGGCTGCAGAATGACGTGGGCGGCACCCAGCAAAAGGCTGCTGGAATAGGCCACCAGCAGCCGGCCCCTCCTGGCACGGTGACACATCAAATATATTCAAATATCATACTGTACATGATCACAAATGAAGGGTTTTAATATGTCGTTAATGGGATATCATTGATATGATCGACACATGGGAGATTTTCCAGCCATGTTTGATTTTCTGGAAGGCACACCTCTGAAGACAAACATCCAGACCCAGTTAAACCCAGTTCCTGCAGGAGATTGAAATCAGACTTTCGAACAAAGGACTCTTGACATCTCTTGGATTGGTGAAAATGGATCTCTTCAGAATCGACCATCATGAAATTGCCATAAATTTTCAATACCAGAATTGTTGGGAAATGTTGGGAAAATCATGGAAAATCTACAAGAAATCCATAGAAATCCCAACACAATTGGTGGCATATTTTTCCCTTCAATCCATCATCGAATTCAACCCGCTCCAGCCATGCTTCGAAGATGGGGGGGGCGCGTCAGCACACAGCGCCCAAACCTGGCATTGCTGACCGTGCTGACAGAATTCAGTGGTCGCGTTTTCCACGGTTTTCTTGCAAATTAACAGAACGGGTTTCTTTGTTTGGGCAACAACTGCATCAAATCCTGCCACGCAGCTGCGTCAGTTGCAGTCTTGTCATCCGTGAAGGGCGGTGACCCTCCCGGAATCCTTACTGCACAAGTCTCGAAAATTTGCTGAAAGAAAAAAACCGATGCGCATTGATGTCCAATATGGCCTGTGAGAGCGTCATATCTTCTCACATCAAAATCACCAAGTTTCTCAATGTTCTGAATATACTTCAGACAAAAGCCTGTGGTGCCAGTGGTGCCAGGAGACTGGGAGATGCGATATTCGCGGAAAAGGGCTTCCCACTGCGGCCAGTCAGAATCATTCGCAAGTCTCACCGTAACATCCTGCCAGGTAGGAGAGCAATCTGCTTCGTAAGGATGGAAAGCGCCTTTTGAAATCACCAACCAATTTATGTTTGTTAATTAATTTGTATTAATTTGTAAGATCATTTTCGCATCCCACAATTGGCGTCAAATAAACGGTCACAATCTGCATCATGTTCATTGATTTTTGTTCCTAACCCGTACAGCTCCAAACGCAGGTCCTTGTGCATCTTCGCTGGTATTGGCTCCGGTGTGGCCGAAAACCAGCACACGGGTACGGGTTTCTTGGCGCCGGTACGGCTAGGGCAAGCAGCTACGAGGAATGGTAATGACTAAGCTGTGCCGGATAGTGGCCGATGTTGCATGCTATTGATTGGCAATGTTTTAAATTAATTTGCAAAACAAAGTGCTTCCATGAACTGGTAGTGAGATGATTATTTTTGATTATTCATATGAATAATCCATCATGGATTATCATTCCAATAATAGATTATCATCAATTATAATCCCAATAGTTTATTATAGTTTATTATTATGCAAAATGAACGGAGGCATCTTGGTGCAAAACAGTGTTTCAAACCAAGGATCTGCACCACTTGGAGCTGGACCCGGTTGGTGCAGCACCAATCTCAGGAGCCTGGGAAGGTTTCCCAAGGTTTGCAGGGCTTCCGCACTGGACAAAGGAAACCGCGGATTGGAACTGTCAACATCTCACAGTCTTGACGTATCTGAGCACTGTTCCTGAAAAACCATTCCCATGTTTCTTCACTAGGTGCTCCCAATCCAATGGCAAAACGAGGAAAAAGAAAGAACGCTATTTTTGTCAACCAGGACCAGGACCCATCGATTCATTGAAGCTGGGCGAAGCTGGCCATCAGAAATATCTGAACCCACCCACCAAACAGCACCCTACGGCGCACCTCCAGTCCGGGTGTTTGATTTGCAGCCCGGGTGCTGGATTTGCCAGCGCCACGGCCGCATCCGGGTCCTGCCCCGGCTCACATTTTGAGTAGCAGATAGCAGCACAAATCGCCCTTGACATGTGGTAGTTCCCTATTTCATCCTATTTCGGCATTTTTTGATGGCATTCTGAAAATGATCGAAACTGAAACAACCACATGCATTTCGTAAGTATACAATTGCATCAACCATACATGTGTACACATCATCATAAATCATCATACATAATTCAAGCACTATAGGCTATATATATATATAATACGTATTATATATACGTATATAGTTATATAGTTATATAATTATTTCGTTAATCTAATCATTTGTGCTTCTGAAGTAAGGCGGTCTACCACAGCCCACTTTTCCGCAGCCGCTGAATGTAGCTGATCTTTGTCACTGCGCGTTGCTTCCACCAAACCACCAATAACACCTGCAGGCTTTTGCGTTAGAAAAAGTCAAACAAGTGATCTGGGTTTGTCTGAGAATGTGGGTGCCCCCGAAAAAATGTGTTCCATCTATACTCTTATCATTGTTCAATGTTTTTTGACAATTTGGAGGGTATACGGTATACATCGGTAATTATAGCCTTTTGTCAGGCACACCCACATCTTGTTCTTCCTGACTCACTGATCTGTCGACATCCTTCAGTCAATGGATTGGTTTAAGGGAAAATCTACAGGAAACCATGGTTTTTACCATCAAATATAGGGCTTTCCTGTAAATTTTCCCATCATCCAGTTCTATGATTCAGCCCCCACCTCTGGCGGTCTGGCGGTATTCGAGAACAGTGACGCTCCACGGATTGGGAGCGTCCAAATCTTCCACGGAAAGCTCTGGAAGCGTCATGCTGGCCATTGGGTCAAGACGGTCAAGCCATGTCAAGCCCTAGCCTTCGGAAAAATGTAACAGGTTGCTAATGTTCGCTATGGAAAACATCTCGTTTAATTAAGTTACACGGTTGACCTATTAAAAAATATGATTTCCAATATCCAATAGTATAGCTGATCATAATATATTAGGACATTCTCTTGTTTGATGCTTTACAGCTGAGTACAGGTGAGAGTTGTAGCATGTTGTAGCGCTTGTAGCTGAGCTGGAACGCCCCCACGGTCCGAGAAATTAACTGTACTCTTTCCAAGCCATGCCGCTCCATGTAGCTTGAGACAGGTTGATTGCAACTCGGCAGAAAGCGGCTAGGCATCGGTCTGCAGTTGATATCAACACCATCTCAATCTTGGATGTGATTCAGTGCATGGGATCAAACTCTGAGCCTTTTTGCACCCTGTGCGGCCGGGTTTGGACAAATGAGTCTCTGAGCCGAGCTATACAAAGACGCGCGGTAATCATGACGTTGCCACCTACCACACGCCCGTTGGCTATCGACTTGGCACATGCCAAAAGAGAAACTGTGGAGCCAGACTGGACCGAAAATGTTCCTGCTATGCCCCTGAAATATCCTGAAAGCGATGTGTTCGAAGTAAGGCAAGTTTGTTCAAGCTTCATCTTTAAGTCTTTAAGGCTTAAACTTGTTCAAACCGTTCAGCTTCACCAGTGGAACTAGAAAGGTCCAGGGCTGAAGATTGATCTGGTGTCGCAACTGGTCAAACAAACGCAGCAGGCCATGGAATTACCTCCCCTCTGAAACACTCCATATCACCTGCACCCTGTGCGGCCGAAGACCAACACCAGTCAGCCATGGGCGCGCCATGGGACAATGGCATTGGTTTCCAAACGGGCCAAAACACAAAATCAGGAGTGAGGCGATGTCAATTCCGAAGCACTGCCCTGTCTTTGGAAAATCTAATCAGCTGCTACCCTCCAGTATTCCAGTGGAACCCCTTGAAGCCTCTAATGGGCTGCAAGGTGCTTCATGGAAACTTGAAACGACTGGCATCGTTGGATGCAAATGATTATGAAAGTTGTTTGACCCAATCTCTTTGCCTTGCACAATCATGGTTGCTTAGTAGATGGTGACATGCCCTGGAGGAAAAAAGAAACTAGCAAACACATAATGCTATGCCAAATCCTGGGGCAAAGAATTGGTGATGATTTATTGCACAATAGTTGTTGCAGATGGCAGTCTGCACAGGACAGCTTAAGGGTTTGCCATGGGCTGTACGAAACCACCATCCATGGCTGCCTTGCTGTTGCGGCGGGGGCAGTCTGCGCAGGCAAACATTGCCGGTTTGTCTGGGTGCAAGCACTGCGTCTTCCTGCCACATGCATTGGTGGCAACTTCCTCACCAACAAAGGCTGCCACAGCCATAGGCTGTGTGTCCAAACCCTCATCCATGGTTGCCTTGCTGTTGCGGCGGGGGCAGTCCGCGCAGGTAAACATTGCCGGCTTGTCTGGGTGCAAGCACTGCGTCTTCCTGCCACATGCATTGGCGGCAACTTCCTCACCAACAAAGGCTGCCACAGCCATAGGCTGTGTGTCCAAACCCTCATCCATAGCTGCCTTGCTGTTGCGGCGGGGGCAGTCCGCGCAGGCAAACATTGCCGGCTTGTCTGGGTGCAAGCACTGCGTCTTCCTGCCACATGCATTGGTGGCAACTTCCTCACCAACAAAGGCTGCCACAGCAATAGGCTGTGTGTCCAAACCCTCATCCATGGCTGCCTTGCTGTTGCGGCGGGGGCAGTCCGCACAGGCAAACATTGCCGGCTTGTCTGGGTGCAAGCACTGCGTCTTCCTGCCACATGCATTGGTGGCAACTTCCTCACCAACAAAGGCTGCCACAGCCAAGGTGGTGCCAAACCATCCATCGCTGCCTTGCTGTGCGGCTCACAGGCAAAACATTGCCGGCTTGTTGGGTGCAAAATGGGCTTCCTGCCACAGGGCATTGGTGGCACTTCCTCACAAAAAAGCTGCACAGCCATAGTCTGTGTTGTCCAAACCCTCATCCATGGCTGCCTTGCTGTTGCGGCGGGGGCAGTCCGCGCAGGCAAACATTGCCGGCTTGTCTGGGTGCAAGCACTGCGTCTTCCTGCCACATGCATTGGTGGCAACTTCCTCACCAACAAAGGCTGCCACAGCCATAGTCTGTGTGTCCAAACCCTCATCCATGGCTGCCTTGCTGTTGCGGCGGGGGCAGTCTGCGCAGGCAAACATTGCCGGCTTGTCTGGGTGCAAGCACTGCGTCTTCCTGCCACATGCATTGGTGGCAAACTTCCTCACCAACAAAGGCTTGCCACAGCCATAGGCTGTGTGTTCAAACCCTCATCCATGGCTGCCTTGCTGTTGCGGCGGGGGCAGTCCGCGCAGGCAAACATTGCCGGCTTGTCTGGGTGCAAGCACTGCGTCTTCCTGCCACATGCATTGGTGGCAACTTCCTCACCAACAAAGGCTGCCACAGCCATAGGCTGTGTGTTCAAACCCTCATCCATGGCTGCCTTGCTGTTGCGGCGGGGGCAGTCTGCGCAGGCAAACATTGCCGGCTTGTCTGGGTGCAAGCACTGTGTCTTTCGACCACAAGCGGCTGTCGAAGTCTTGGAACTTGTGGCACTCTTTCTTGCAATTCTGGCCTTGGATGTAAAATGCATTAATTAATCAATGCTTTTGTGGTTGTATGCACTGCGCTGCCACATTGACAGCTTTCTACATTATCATGACCACTTTCTTGCCATTTATATATCCAGTGATATCCAGTGCATTTCAGTGCAAAAAAGCCGCCTTGGATCTTTGGGAAATGGTCCTCATCAAAGTCTCAGCGACTGCAATTCTGCTAGCAATCAACATAGGTATGTATCACCAAACGAATCATTAGCACAAATCTATACAAATCTGAGAAGTTGCCTCTGCACTCCGGCAATGGCAGCCACGCAAAGACCCATAGGAAGCACGGACCCCTGCCAATGTTCACTCTCCAAAAACGAATGAGCCCCAAAACATGGACTACACCGAGTAGAAAGTAGTTGAGGAAACACGAGGAAACCGTCATTTATGTACAAAAATATATAAAAATAACATAAAATTCTGCGGTATCATGTGGAATGAAAATTAGCCTCCAGTCAGCAAGTTCATTTGAAGGCAAACATCCCTGCCTTGGATCCTCCAGCATTTGAGCTGGGCAGTGGTGCTGAAGGAGCAGCTCCTGCGGCACGATTGATATTGGAACCTTAGGCCGCAGCCAACATCCTGATCTATCCTCACCCCAAGGTTCCGCAACTCCAACAAGAATAGGCTTAGGAATTTTAAGCCGATCTGACAAGTATCTTCTTGATTTTTTCCGCCTCCTGCCTGAGAAATGAACTGGATTATATCAAATGATATCATATTATATATATATATATCATGATATATCAGTATATAAGAGCTGTAACAGTGCAGTCCAGTGAAGTCTGAAACTCTTCTCCTGGCAAGCGGTCTGCTGGCCGGAACGCCTGTCCTGCAAATATTCAAACAGTGTCGGATCTGGAAGAAAATCTGGAAGCCTTGAGGATACCTTGACATCATCCACAGTTGACTGATGGCAAGTGTGGCTTATCCAATCTCCTGCCATACTTGGTGCCACAAAAGCCATGTGTGCGCTCATCGAGGCAGCCTGGACTTCAAGATGCTAGACAGAAAGTGGGCACATGTGGGCACACATGTCAAATAGGTTATATGAGGTTTCATTGAGCATCATTGAGCCAGTTTTTCTCAATCAGTCCCATTTTGCGGCGCTGACGCCTGGTGCGTTTGTTGCAATTGCAAAGCGGGCGCGGAAAGACGCGAAAATTTGAGCCACTGGGAAAGGATTGCCATCAGGTAAGAACGACAGGCTGCCGAAACAGTACAAGTGGTGGAAGGAACCCCAAGTTCTGATCAGGATTGTTCAAGCGTGTCAGCAACCAGATGCAACCAGGAGCACACACACACACACTTTTTGAATGATTTGAATGCAAATGATCCCGCGAACCACGAATTACAACCCAACGCAGCTTGCGTGAAGGTCCTTTCGCATAGGCGAGGTGAGACCGTGAAACATGCACTTGGATAGCAACCATGCCAGATGCTCGACCATTTCTCAAGCATCAGGGCAAGAACCCAAGTGTTCAATTTTTTGTTGAAAATTGCACTCAACAAAATCAAACAAGGTAGGAACAAATAAAGACGCATACGTACATCTTTAATAGATGTTGAAAAGGATGAAGAATGCAAGTGAAATGAAGAAATGTGCTTTCGTAACGTACCTTTTGAACAAAAAAACACAGTTGTTAAACATTAAAACATGGGCGGTTCAGGCGGTTCAGCCACTTTTTCGAGGTACTTCTTATGCCTAGCCGACACGCTTCGACACGCGTAGAGGGGGCCCCTCCCTGGATGGCTTCGCGGCTTCGCTGATCTGAGGCCTGGGCCTCTGCCGAAGGTTGAAGAAAAAACGCGTCTGATAATCGTCGCCAGGGAAGACCTGGGAAAATCCACATGGCACTGGAGCATGGAAGATATGGAAGAGTGCCAGGTGACTATGAAACAACTACATTTGAGGACTATGTCCAAACACTGGGGCTCAGCCTTTGATGTCATTTGATGTTGATGTACATATATATATATGTGTGTGTGTGTGTGCGTGTCTGCTTGTTGCAATTACATTATATATCATTACATGATTGTGTGGTATGTGTTTATATCAACTGCACTTCATGGCTCACCCACTTTGTGTTCTTCGATTCTTCGGTCAATGCCTTGCCCCAGCTCTGACCTCAAGTCCACCGAGCTGCCACAAAGTCATGTGGAGGCGGTGATGTGGTGTAGACCTCTTGCAACCTTCCGAAAGGCCGGCAGCCCTAAAGCAGCAAAATTAGATCACCTGGTCATGGATCATGATCTAGCCATGACAAGGCCCAACATGGATGATATTCACTACTCAAAACAACATATATCTGGCAGTTCTCTCCCCAAAATGAATGATTTAGTGCTCTGACCTCTTAAGATCAAGCACTCCAAATATGTTCCATTGAGCCTCCATCGACCCATACCACCTGAACCTCATCAGCTCACCCTGGTCCTGGCCTGTCCAGCTCAAGGTACATGACCTGGTCGACCTCGCCCTTTGCCAAGGAGAGGCTCCTCGGTGAAACAGATTGATTTATTATGGATTGATTTTTTTGCCAGGCAAACCATGATCAAAAACCACAAATAAATCAGTTAATACCAATTATACATATTATATATATATGTGTGTGTGTGCAGTCATCCATTCATTATTCATGGGGAGAATATGGGAAAATAAGGGGAAATGATGACCCACATTGACCCATCATGCGATTTCCTGGTACCAGATTGCAAACAAACCGAAATTTGAAGCATCAAACGTTTGGCTTCGAAGTCAGCTGACGTTTCATGGCAGTCCAAGGCGCGTCAAGTCTGGAATTACAGGGCATGTCTCCTGCAACAATAATTTTGGTGAATCTGCTGCACAGAAGTTTATATAAGTTTCAGCTGTATACAGCAAACCGCATATCAATTTATGATCTTTATGCCTCACAGAACTTGCTGTGCAAACTAGACAGCTCGCCACCTCGTTTGGAACTGACAGCCTCGGTACTGTGGTTTTGCACACTGGATCCAGCAGGGTGAGCCTTGCCGACAGCCAATTGCTACCAAAGGACAAGTACACGTCGACAACTTGTTTCAAGAAGGCGTCGCCACCAGTGTCCATCTCGACCAAGGTCTAGTTAAACACCAAGAAAAAAGCGGTGTGGAAATTTCCAGCAACGCGATGTGTATATAGTATATACATATATGGCATATATCATATATCATATCATCACATATCATAATGATATCCACCATTGATGATTAGACATGATATGACATCGTAAAATATCGTGACAATCCACAACGCAGGGTACAAGTGTTATAGTTGTGTTATGGCATGTGCTGTGGCACTTGGAGGCTGTGCTGCCATTGGGGGCCTGAAATAGATACTCGAAATCGTTCTCCGTGACATTGCCAAGTCCAACATCATCTTTTACCTGGCAGAGCGGGCATCAATTGATGATGTTTGAGGTTGTTTTTCCCCACCTGCCAGGTGAGGGTTGTTAGATTTTATCTAAGTTGCCTTCTCCTCCTCCTCCTCTCCTCCTCCTCTCCTCCTCCTCTCGTCGTCCTCCTCCTCTCGTTGTCCTCCTCGTCTCGTTGTCCTCCTCGTCCTCCTGCTCAACTGCGACTCGCGATCCACAGTGTCCGCTGCCGGACCTCAACCACGACCATCCACGCCCAGTGTTCCCTGCCGGACCTCAACCACGACCATCCACGCCCAGTGTTCCCTGCCGGACCTCAACCACGGCCATCTACGCCCAGTGGTCCCTGCCGGACCTCAACCACGGCCATCCACGCCCAGTGTTCCCTGCCGGACCTCAACCGCGAGTATCCATGCCAAGTGTTCCCTGCCGGACCTCATGTAGGAAGATATGGGACAAAGAATGCGCAGAAGAAAGTTAGAAAGAATGTCAGAAAGAATGTCAGAAGATATGCCAGAAGATATGCCAGATAGAATGCCAAATAGAATGCCAGATAGAATGCCAGAAGATATGTCAGAATATATGCCAGAAGATATGCCAGATAGAATGCCAGATAATATACCAGAAGATATGCCAGATACAATGCCAGATAGAATGCCAGAAGATTTGCCAGATAGAATGCCAGAAAATATGCCAGAAGATATGCCAGAAGATATGCCAGATAGATATGCCAGAAGATATGCCAGAAGATATGCCAGAAGATATGTCAGAATATATGCCAGAAGATATGTCAGATAGAATGCCAGAAGATATATCAGAATATATGCCAGAAGATATGCCAGATAGAATGCCAGATTGAATGCCAGAAGATATGTCAGATAGAGTGCCAGAAGATATGCCAGATAGAATGCCAGAAGATTTGCCAGATAGAATGACAGAAGATATGCCAGAAGATATGCCAGATCATATGCCAGAAGATATGCCAGATAGAATGCCAAATAGAATGCCAGAAGATATGTCAGATAGAATGCCAGAAGATTTGCCAGTAAGAAAATGTATAAATGTCATGGTGGGGATCACACGAAGTAAAGTAATTGTTTGTCAATGGGTAAAACGACATCCTTCATTAAGGTGGCCCATTGGGATATAATCAAAATTCATCAAACATCGCAACAGAAATCTCCCATTTTTAGATGATATGCCCATTAGTTGGCCATGTTTGAAGTGAAATTCCCAGCCAGCCATGTTTGATTCCCAAAAGGTGGTTAATTTAAAAGGCCGTTGAGAAAGCGCTGCTGCTGCAAAGATACTGACTTCAGGGCTGTTGGAAGGGCTGGATCTCCTGAAAACACTGGCCCGGGCGCTTTTTTTGGAGGGATGTGCAGGATGCCAATACCACTCTTTCCACTGGAATACTAGCTGGATCTAGCTGGATTGGTATGAGTTTCCATTCACCATTCTTGAGATTGATTCAACCGCCTGTG